ACTATCTTAGATATACTCTCTACTCGCCCTTCTTAAAGCCTCCTAGACTAATTAGCTACTATATCGTCTAGAGTTTTCGATTCTACGGCTAAGACTCGAAAACGTATACTTATAATGCCCTTATAGGATATGCAATTATCGCGCAGCCGCCGCTATGCCTATAAGACTGCATGCTAAAGCTACTCGGGATAATAGCTTCGTTAATTCGGTCGCGGCTACGGCGATTAGAGGAGACGGCGCCGATAATATGCCTATAACCTATTACCCGAGTTCCTACTATTAACATTTAATCGAGGAGTGTTTTAGCTAATTAAGATAAAGACGCCGCTTACCGTGTTAATAGTATAGATAACCCCGTTAGTAATAATTGCATCGCCTATTAGGACGTGCCCCGTTAAGGCGGACGACGCCGTTTGCCACCGAAGCCCTTACCTGCCCCCGCGAGGGTTAAATAGACATCGCCGACCTAGAGCAGCGGCGTGTATGCCGAGAAGTCGACTAGCACGTGCCGCTTTAGTAGCTCTTTGAGCCGGTCGTCGGGCTAGCTAATGCGGGATTTTTTAAAGGCGCTGTCGTTAGGTGCTAGGACGGTGATACTAGCTCTATTATCGATCTCGGCGAGGAGGCCGGTCCGTTAGGCGAGGGCTTGAAATATGTCTACACTAAGGAGTGGGAGTATGTTAGAGACGCTTTATTGTAATATAAGAATTCTAAGTTTGCGAGTTAGCACGGTTAGGAGCGGACCTGGTCGTGGGAAAGGGGGAATTAATACATCGATAGGGCGGATGCACCGTTGTTAAAGGGGATATTAGCACCCGCGACCTTGACGCTCGCCCCGAGACCGGATAATATAAGGGGCAGCGATAGTAGAGCCACGCTCTTAATAATAATATTCTGATTTCGCCTAGGGCCGAGGTTTATAAACTCCGAGTTACTAAGTAATATTACGAGGATAGAGCTAGGCGGGATAGGCACGTTACTAGTTACCTTTATATTATTCTTTAGGGGCTAAGAGGGTCGGAGATATAAGGCGTGGTAGAGTTTACCGTATAAATTGCGAGAGTCGCCTGCTTAATATTATCTTAGGTAGCTCGGCGGGTGAAGGGGGAAGGCCCCTTAGCCGTAGTTAGTATAGCGTTTATTAGGGTGTAAAGGAGAAGCCTAGGTCCTGCGCTGAGAACGGGACTTCCTTAGAGCTCCTAAGCGAACCTGGTAAATTTATTCTCCTCTAGTATGCCTAGTAATAACTAGGCAATCACCGAGGCGGCAAAGAGAGCAAGGAAGGTAACGGAATATAGCTAAAGAGCGGCGGCGAGATATAGAGTTTATTATAATATATAGTAAAAGACTTAGAGAGATAAAGGGGGACTATATATACGTAAATATAAGCTCCTAGCTATAGGGCAATAAGAGTAAGAGTTTTAGGGTAACTATTAACTAATATAATATTTAGAATGCCTTATCGGTAAGTTTTAGGCTCTATCTAAGAATCGTAGAGTAGTTATTTAAAGACTTTAATATATCCTTTGCCGTTATTATTAGTTCCGCTCGTTAAATAAGTATCACCTAAGGAGGCGACCTTAGTACGCTATAGAAGCCCGAAACGAAACCGATTTACGATATAGGGCCGAATTCTAGATAAAGCGCAAAAGACTAGCCCTCTCGTACTAAGAGCAAGATAGATAGAGCTACTAGTCGCGTATAGTTAATTCCGTCTTTAATCTTAAAAAATATACCTGGTATAGGGATACCACTAGTCTTGCTTAAAGTGCTATAGACTACCTTTAGCGGTGGCCCGATGATTGTTAGACTAGGCAATGCTAGCGGCGACTCGGCGCTTATGTCTCGAACTACGAGCCCTAATAGCGTTATAAACGCGCAGGCTTCGAGCACATATAGCGATAAAGAGCGTCTTATCCTTACTAGTTTTATAGCTACTAGGAGCATGTTTTCTAATACTACTATATTTAGACTGCCTAAGGACGACGACAATCTTATAACGGGCCCTAATAAGCAGCTAAGGGATAGTGCCGGGAACTTTATAATTTCGAGCCCTAATATTTAGACCTTCTCTTTAATAGGAATTATCACTCTCGCTATAATTCTACTTGCTCTGCTCGTTTTTGATATATTAGCGTGGCTCCTTACACGCTTCTATACGGGGAAGGAAGATAATCGGGACGGATTAAGCACGTGGACTCTACTCTAGGTATTAAGGGCGGTGCATATATCCGGTGCATATATAAGCTAGATAGATAACCTACACTCAATGACAATAGATAGTCTTATTATAAGAGCATTCCTAGCGACGATGACGCGGTGTTGTTTAAGCTGGCACTTATACCTAGAGACATAAATCCTAAGTGCAAAGGGCATATTAATAAATGCTCTAGGGCTCGGGGTAACGAGAACCGTGCTAACGACGCTGCTCGAGGCGAGACTATCCAGAATTAATCATTTCCCCCGGCTACGAAATTAGATTAAACGCAATTTAATGCTTATCTCTAGAAGAAGGCATAGCCTGGCTAGAGGCTTTGTCACGATAAATAGGTGGCTATAAGAAGATCTAGCAATTTGTCGCAGTCGTCGCCGAAATTTGCCGAGGCTTCGCAGAGCAACGCTATCGGGCGGTAAAGCGAAGCGGGTAGACTATCCTCTTTAAGTATAGGTGCCGTGAAAGCTATTGCGGCCGCCTGAGCTGTCAATTTGCCATCAAGGTATTCGGCCAGGCTCTTTGCTTCATCGGCATAGCAGCCGCTACCTGCTTTAAGGACTTCTTTGGTCGTCACCACTTAAGACTTAAACTATTGTGCTCTGGTTGACATTTCGAGCTCTAAAGGTAGGTAATACTTATAGGATAGTGACGAATATATGCAGTGCTTTGGCTGGGGAGAGTTCCGGTGTTGTTAATTGCTTGCGAGATCGAGGGGATAGTTATCGCCTCAAGTTGCTGGTTGTTAACTTGTTAGCATGAGTCTCATGACAAGAGTATGTCACATGAACCACACGTCACACGATCGGAAGGTTACAGTATCGTAACTGTTGAGGAGAGCGGGCCCAAGGAGTCATACTCAGTGGACCCAAAATTCATGCCAAAGGGGTCCGCCGGACCAACCCGAATCTCCTAGCGGAAGGACATGCGGCAGGTATGGCTCGTGTATAAGTATTCTTGCCGGTAAACTTAGCGCGCATATGCACATAGTTGTCCGTCTTCCCTGACAAGTTCCTGCTTATAGAAAGACAGGATATCATTAACGCGGTTAATTATAGAGAGGGATTCTGGGATGTCTTGAATGTATGAGCTTGCATCCGGGTGGATAGAACGGGGAAAGAGCCAATAGGCATACGGCGCAGGTGCGCCAGACTTTAGGCGGATGGATCATATCCTTTGTGACGCTCTCCATAGCGCTACCGATCAAAATCTCGTAGAAGCCGACGGCGAATGAATTTACGGGGAGATCGTGGAAGTAGTCCTACGTGCGAAGTATGATGCTCTTTACCAGACAATCGAGCAAATGGTCTGCCTGTTTCCTACTAGCAAGAATATTTACCCGAAAGAATGTAGAATCTTAGGAGAGCGGGTAAGAGAGTCGTCGATATAGAATATGACTAGATTGCAGATGACAATGAGGACCTTGAGGCCCTTTGGATGGTGCGGGTAAAAGCTCTGGGAGTCCTGGCAGGCCTATCCTAACCAGGACTTGATAACGTCTATACCAATGTAAATGCGGTCTATCTCGAGCACGATAGCAACTTAAAGGTCATCGACATTCGGGGGTTGAAGGTGATAACTGCGCCAAGCACCTCGCGGACGAAGTTCTTTATTATATAACAGATAGGATCAAGTTCACAGTCGCGCTAGGTGAACGGGTAAGTGAGTCGTGGAAACTATAGAATGTACCTTAACTTTCAAAGCCCAAAGTATTGAGGAGGCTGCTGAGGGTAGAGGACAGACCGCTAAGAGAGAAGAGCTGTGAGCTAAGAGGTTGCATGGCAAAACAGGAAAGGCAATGCACGCGGCGGCTTGGTTAAGTGTTAGAGCAAAGTAAATTCACAACGAATAAGCGGGTTAAATACGATTTAAATAGATGAATATAACGTTTCGCTAGACCTTTGCGTGTTACTCTCCCCTTTACTCTCTTTCTCGTAAGGCTCGGCCGATTGCCGCCGCTAGTACTTGCATGTAAACCGCATAGTATACGAATATTCCGGTAGGTGCATAGCTAAGTTACGTGTCAGCTACCACGATTATTATTTATATACTATAGCCGACTCGTGCTAATAAGATTATTAGACCGATGGTGGTTATACTAGCATAAGACTAAACCAACCCTAAGGTACTTTATACGTAGGGCGAAAATGCTGTGAAAGCATGAGAGAAGTAAGTGGCTTAAGCGGTTAAATATATACAAAATAGCGCTACTCTTAAATGTCGTGAAACTAAAGAACCGCTCGAATTATTAGTCGTCTAAAAATCGCAAAAAGAAACAGGAAAAACATACAGCAGCCGGTGTTCGCTAGTCGTCACCGACCTAACTACTAATCTGCCCCTTACCTAGTTAATTTAACGAGATCGGACGGGATCGGATGCTTTTAAGTAGGTATGGCCGTATGTGTTGGTACGTACCGCAAGTTTAGCTCATCCATGCAGGGGTCCGCTGCCCGCCAGATGGAAGCGTCACTGGTGATGCGTCACCGGGGCCACGTAGATTGAGTTCAGGTTCGGAGTCGCACATCAGCATCGGAAGCTAGAAATGGTAGTCGTGGCGTGTGTTCTTGCTTCTAGACCTCTGGCCTTTGCCCGGACCAGTCAAGGGCCAGAGAACAGCCCTTCTCACCGGCTCGCCGCTTACCGGCCTTAGAAGCTTGTGTCACGAGACTTGTGCTGACTGACAGCTGGTCGGAACAAACCTTCGGCTTGCCCCTCACCGTGCTCCCGTCTTGTCGTCCTTGTTGCTGTCGAGACAATAATAAATATCCTCGCAGTACATCTACAGCCAATGTCTCGCAGCGCCAGCCTCACTTCTCTGCCGATTCTGCCTGACGTCGTCGAGTCTGCTGCTCGGCAGACTTGCGTGTCCAGGGCTCATCATGTCGACCCCGAATTCAACCGGCCGAGGGGCCTCTCGCGCGCCCCCAAGCCTCTGAAGGACACGTTGGAGAACAAGTCTGCGCAAAATGACGACCGGTGCCTCATTCACACCGTCGAGTTCGACTTGGTCCACGGGGACACAATCGTCTTCGTGGATATGCCCAACATGCCCAAAGACCCGAGAAAGCAAGCCGACTGCGACAACATTGCCTACAGATCCCACAGCTTCCGCGTCCACTCTGACAAGCTGCTGGCGACAGGCTCTGCCAAGTTTGCCCAAATGTTGAGCCCGCTGTCCCAGTCTAGGATTCAGCTGCGTCGCAAAGTGGTCAACAGGCTCCCCCGAGGCGTCCACTACGTCCTGGACCTGACTCCTCCATCCGAAGGCGACGAGCTCGTCTTCCAGATGACCGAGCTGTCCCTCACTCCCGGAATCATGGCCTGGTGGAGCTCCCACAAGTTCCACGGCGTCGACCGCAGCCTCGTCAGCGGCCACGACGATGTCTGTACGTGTCGGCGCCAGGCCCAGACTGATGGCGACGAAGAATCCCGCCTCACTAACAAGTCGTCGCTTCAAGAAACGAGCCTGGGGTTGAGCAAGAGCCAGTCCATTCCACCGACGCCCAATCAGCTCATGCAGATGAAAGTAGACGGCGATGCTGGCATCTACGAGCCGCCGCCTTTCCGCCGGATCCCCGACTACTGCCCCATTCGTCACCGCAACGCAATTGTTCGCCTCGTGATGCTGATTCAAGGCCGAGATGTCTTGCTCGACTCGGCGAACCGGGTCTGGACACTGGTGGCCCTGGCTAACATCCTTGACTGCACGTCGGTGGTGCGCGACCGAGTCATGAAATGGATCATGCACGGCTCCAACACCCGCTTTATAGAAGTCTTGCCCGAGGAGGCGCTTCGCATAGGATTCGCCATCAGGAACGCTCACGTCACGCAGTGCGCTTTCCGCATCCTAGTCAACGAGCTGGCGATCCACGAGGCGGCCGACGATGCCGCCGAACGGAACCTCACGCAAACTACAGTCTTTGGACGAAGGCGAGGCGAGTGCGGGGATGAGCTGAACAACCTTATCCAGCACGCTGCTCGGGCCCTTGTCGAGCGAGTGTCCTCGACCAAAGCCCAGCTACAGAGTCCGGACCTGCTGCAATTCTGGAAAATCCAGGAATGGAGCAAGCTCCGAAGACTGGAGCATCTACTCGCCAAGGGCCAAGGGTCCGCGTTCCACTCGGCGCTCGACAAGCTGCGTCGGTTCATGAGGTGGCTTCCCATGGCCGTGGCATCCAAGCTCGGCGAGGCCGCCCAACATGCCGAAGACAACCATCAAACTCTCTGGAGCACGGATGTCGACCGGGCCACATACGTCCTCCCCAAAGACTTTGAGAGACTCGAGTGCATCATGACGAGACTGAATCTCATCCAGAAGCTCCTGTGCCCTTTTGTATGGAGGGATCTTGGCGAGCGTTGCAGCTGGCCCCTGTATCTGGGGCCGCGCTTGGCGGGAGAGCCCGCGGGTCGACCCCGATTTGGCAATATGCTCCAAGAGTTAGAGGACTCGCTGCGGCAAGTTATCATTGCTGAGCCCGCCGCGGCGCGCACGTATGAGTGGATGGAATTCCTGGATTCAGGCCAAGTCCTTGCCGGGATTGACGGTCCCACTGTCAAGTCACCGCTGATCGACCTCGACCGCGTGGACTGGCAGGTCAAAGACGCGCTTCTACCCCTGACCCTCTCTTGGGTTCGCCACGACATCTACCCGCCCCTCAACCTGACGCGCCACTTGCTGCTCACGCTCACAATGGAAGAGATGAAGTTCCTGCCTCTCTGGGCTGGCGGCTTCGACGACGGCACGGGCGGCGTCTTTGAGAGCTTCGTGCCCCCGACAGACATGGGCCCCAGCGGGCCAGGTCCTGCCTACCACACCGGAAGAACTGTGCGGTCCGATGCTCCTAGTCTCTGCGGCACCCTGATCGACGAATTTTCCGCCGTTAAATTAAAGGATGACACGACGGACGCCTCTGTCAATTTTCACGATGGCGCGTCCACGACGAATGAGCCGGGAGGGGCCACCGCGGCACGCGACATGTCCGGGGCATCGGAATCATTCACCACGCACAGGGCAGACTATGAAGAGGCCAGGGCTGCTGTGCCAGCAGAGCACCAGGTGTCCTGTAGTCACGAAGTGATGTGGATGGACGAGTCTGATAGTGGCTGGAACGACGAGCGGCAGTCCGCGGTGATGGACTTTGGCTCCGTGGTTATGGACGGGTTTGAATTTGAGGGAGATGACCTGGAACGGTCTTTGAGCGATCTGAGCGACAGCGAGGGAAGCATGGTGGTTGTTTGAGGGGAGAGGGACGCATATGGATCAAGAGTGAGATGCCCCCGAGAGACAGAAGCCAGATGGCTTGGTTTCATCTGCGACTTTGTCAGGTGTGGAAAGCCAAAGAATGACAATGACGTTTGGCCGGCCAATTTGCGAATATCGAACGACGAAACGCACGGCGGTGTCTCGAATAGTTAGAAAAGAACAGCTGCTTCAATGATGACGACGGAAATGATGCGTGATATGAACAAGGGAGAGCGCCACGCTCTCGGTGCCTGCGTCATGGGTATCTACGAGTTAGAGCCTCCTCCACCCCCTTTCCATGTACGGGGCCGGAACATTCATGACAAAACCTCGGGTCGCCAAACGCCACTACTGCACGGGACCCAGAAAGCCCCGAGAACCAAACAAGTCAGGGCAGGCTCGCTCTCTCTCAGCCCATGTTGAGCGTGTTTCCCGAGCCCCGCGGATTCTCGTCCTTGAAGTCGTCCCACTCTCTGGCCTTGTACGTCTCGCGGTCGACGGCGTCCATGTCGTCCTCGTCGACGCGGGGCTTGGCAGGGTCGGTGCCGCCCTCGAGGATGTTGCCGCGGCGGCGCTCCTCGGCCAGGTACTGGTCGATGGACATGGTGGGGAGGTTGTGGCCGGGGCGGAAGACGCCGCGGGCGAGGTCGGTGCGCGAGCTGACGAGCGTGAAGGGCTGCATCGGCTTGCCGGCCTGCGAGAGGAGGGGCCCGCCTTGGTTGAGGGTGCGGCGGAGGGGCTGGTCCAGCCGCGAAGTTGCATCGTCGTCGTCGGCGCCAGTAGAGGCGACGGGGTTATGAGCGCGAAGGGCTACCGAGGGCTGTGGGGGGGGGGCTTGTGCAAGGAGGTCGCACTCGCGGTTTAGCGAGTCGAGCGCCTGAAAGGTCAAGTGCACGGCGTAGGCGACGTGGGCCAAGTATACCTCCCGCACAACCTCGTCGTCGCCGCTGTCGACGTAACGCCGATCAGCCTTGAGAATCTCCAACCTGGCCTTGAGCGCCTTCTCGGCCCTGAAGCCGGCAATCTTGCCCTCACGACGGGTAGCAGCATCGGCACCAGGCGCCACGACGGCAAAGCCCTCCTCGTCGTTGCGGTACCGCTCGAGCATCCGGTCGTACGGCGGGGCGATGAGCCTATAGGCATCGACGAGGTCGAGGAACCGGACGTAGGCGGCGCGGGCGCGGCGCAGCAGGGCCTGGCGCTGGTGCTGCGGCGATGGCGACGAGGGGCCAGCGAGGGGAAGACGCTGGGCGAGCTCGGCCACGCGAAAGTTGACGAGCATGTAGGGAAGTGCCGACGTGGCTAGGTCGTCGAGACCCTCGTTGGGGGAGAAGAGGGCGACGGTGGCGAGCTGGTCGACGGCGCGGGCGTAGAGGGCCAGCGCCGCCTCGACGGCCGGGCCGTAGTTAGGCGCCGTGGTGTTCGGGTTGGCCTCGAGAGCCTCGCGGCGGGCCTCTGCCTCGTCGAAGATAGCCCGGAGGGACTGCGGCTCGTCGTCAGTCGAGGCCATGATGGAAATGGAGGGCAAAGGCTGTGATGCTGAAGCGCCAGGGGTCGAGGTCGGTGGGCATAGGTATAGTATAGTCGGTTAATAAAAGTTCGGGCCGCCCGGCCTATAGAGGAAATCGCCGTCCTAGGGTACCCTTTTTAATAGCGAACTATAAAGCTAAATAAAGGTTAATTATAAAAATAAAAATAAAACTTTATATAGTTATTTAAAGGAGACTCTTAGTATTATAGCTAATTATTACTAGTTATTAAGTCTTTATATTAAAAAAAAAGAAGGTATAAATTATACTATTTTACTTAAAAGAGAAAGTTTATAAGTATAACTATATATATATATATATATATAAAGTATAAAAGAAAATAGGGTTCCTTATTAATTTAGTAGCTTATAATTACTTAAATCTATTAGGTAACTACCTTATTATCTTATTAATTAACTATTATATTTAGTACCTTTTAATATAATAATAATATTATCTTTACTTTTAAGAGTAAAAAGCGCGCTTATTAATATATATAAGTATAAGCTTAACCTTAAATAGCTATATATTAGTCTATAGCTTACTAAGACCTTTATTAAGTTATAATATACCCTTTTAAGTATTTCTTTTTATATTATTACTTATATATAGTCTTTAAGGCTATAGTAAGTATTAAGTACTAGTCCCTTAGTATAGGGCTAGTACTTTAACCTAGCCGTTTACCCGGATCTAGTATAGGTCTAATAAGTAATTAAACGGACTAGCTACTATATATAATTAAATATATTATATAGACTAGCTATTATACGTTATTATACGTATTAAATATAAACTAGCTACTAGTCTTATAAGTAAAAGTAAGAGTAGTAATAACTATCTATTATTATAAAGTAAGTAGAGGTATATATATAGGTGCCGTTTATAAGATAATATTAATAAGCTATATAGAGCTCTCCTATACGCGGCTAGCCTATATATATATATATAGGATCCGGCCCTCCGTATATAACTATATAGCTTAGGCCGTAGCCTAAGCCTATAACCTATAATAGTTAAAGACTCTTATATAATGCCCTCCCTTAAACGCGGCGCGGCGTTACTTAATTAACGGCTTCTATACTATTAGGCCTATACCGCTAGCTCTACCCTGCCCTTTCCCGTTAATTATACTAGCCCTACTAGCCCTATTATCCCCGCGCCCGTTAGCCTAGGTAGCCGGAACCGGGCTCTATACTTATCGGCCGGCTAGCCGTTTAAATAAGGGCGCGACCTATTATATACGCCCCTAGGTAGCCGGCGGCCGGCCTAGACCTATATAAGCCTTAGGTTACCTATCCCCTTAGCCTTAGGTAGCCTCCTTTACCTAGGGGTATATAAGGCAGTAACCCCTCTTTCTCTTTCCCTTCCTTCTCTTCTTTCTTTAACTATAGTAATAGTAGTAATAAGTAAGTTCTACTTTACCTAAGGCGTTAGTTTATTCTTAGCTATATAGGCCGCTCTATTAATATATATTTATAGTAATAGCTATAGTAGTAATAATAGCCCTAATAATAATAATAACTTTAACTAGTAAGTTCCTTGCCCTATAGTATAAGAGGCCGTAATCTATAATACTAACTTCCGCGATAGATATATCTACCTCCCCCTCCCTTACCTCCTCTTTCTTAGAGCGTACGGAGTCGTTCGTCGACGCTATACTAGGCGCGGCCGACGACGGCTCCGCCGCTGCCGCTGCTCCCGCCTACGCCGCTACCACCGCGCCTACCGCCGCTACTAATGCCTCCGCCGCGCTAGCCGCTCTTACGTCGCCTTTTAGGGTAATAACGCTATCCCTACCGCTACCTATAACGCCCGGCCCCTCGGCCCCCGCCTCCGTCTCCGCTACCCCTATAAGTCTATAGTTAAGTAAGCGTAATAAATATCTTCCGCTAACCTCTTAAAGTATAAGCGCTAGGTCTAGGCTAGAGCCGCTCGTATAGCCCCCTATATATAGTATATATCGTAAGAGCTCCCTTACGCCGACTAAATTAGGCGCCGCCGCGGCGGTAGTTATTACTAGTATACGCGTGCTAGCCGCGCTTATAAGGCGGCGCCTCCCGTCCTACCCGCTACGGCGTCGGCTTAAAAGGCTAGCGCGTATAGGTAGGCACGGGGGGCTACTAAGAAGCGCCTTACCGCCGCTACTACCGCCTACCGTAACCTCCGCGCCTTAAAGCGCTAAGGGCTTATCCTTAAGTAGGTTCTTCCTCCTCCGCTCTCTTACCTCCGCTACTAACTCTCCTAGTACTAGGGATACTACCTCCGTCGCTTTATTAGCGATCCCTATAGCCGTGCCCGCCGCCGCCGCTACTACTACCCCTACCGCCGCCGCTAAAGCTAGTCGCCGCCCCTCCGCCCCTAGAGCCGCCGCCGCCGCCGACTAGCTTATAGGCTTAGAGGGCCGACTTAGCGCGCTAGAGAGCGCCGCCGCCGCCGCTAAGGAGGAGGAGGGGGCCGATAAGGACGACGATAATAATAATAGTAAGGGTAAGGGTAATAATAAGGAATAAGCTTAGGAAGTCTAAGGGCTCTGCCTTAAAATAAACGCTATTTTTATCTCCGCTTATACTATTACGCCTATATCGCTATAACTACTAACTCTACTTTACTTATTTTATAGTCTTAGTCTAAGCTACTACCGGTAGTCTATTAGTTTATTATTCTCGTCTACTAGTCTATATAGGGTCTCGAACTTATCGAGGGCTATAGCTCCCGTAAACTTATATACGGGTTCCTATATAGGGTCGAGGTACCCGCGCTACTTAATAAGAACCTCCTAGCGTGTCCCCCTACCTACCTTCCTCTAGCGTACGGCTTATATCTCCTTAACCTCGAATTCGTTATCCCTTTCTACCTTAATTATAGGCGGTTAAGCGTCCGCTATTTCTTATCTAAGTAGTAGGTTAAAGGAGGCTTAGCGAAGGAGGTTAATATTAACCTTATTATAGACCCCTATTAAGAGGCTATCGAGCTTAACTACTTATAGGCTAACGACCCTCTATACCGTAAACTTTATATATAGCTAGTTTAGTTTCTTCTTCGGTTATACTAACCTATAGTTATAGAGGTCGAGCTATACTTTATCTCTTACTATAAACCTATCTACTAGCGCCTTAGTCTTATTAGCGTACCGCTTTTAATCCTACGCCGCTACGGCTATTATAGATTAGTAGTATTCTATAGTTTCTTATAGCTTTTATATAAACGCGGAAGTATAGCTCTTTAGTAATATACTACTATACTACTCCGCTACTACGTTAGCGGTAAATAGGATCGGGGAGGGCGGCTTAAAGCTATACGTTGCGAAGAAGGGGGCTATCTAAATAAAGGATTACGGTCTACTATTTAGCGCGAGCTAGGTAGCGGGGAGCTAGCGGTCCTAGTCCGCCTAGTTATAGGCTATAACTACCTATAGGTATACTTATACTTCTTAGTTAACCCTCTTAGGACCCCCGTTAGTCTATAGGTAATAGGCCGTACTAAGTAGCGACGTAATCTAAAGCAGCCGGTATAAGTGCTACTAAAAGCAGCTAGTTTAGTTTAACCCTCTATCGCTTATAATAAAGGCTAGCTAGCTATATAAGCGGGCCTAGTACTAAAGAAAGCGCTCTATATAAGCTTTTATATTTATAAATAGTATTAGCTCTAGTACTACTAATTTACTAAGTTAGTCCTTAATTACCTATATATAGCGGTTACTACCCTTTATAAGCGGGAGGTCTATTATAAAGTCTATTTATATATACGTATAGAACTAGTCTAGTACTAAAAGCTACTTAAGTAGCCCCTTAAGCTATACCTTCTAGATCTTTATATAGCCGTAAATATCGTAGTTATAAAGGAAGCAATAAACATAGTACTATAGGAGGGGCTAGTAAAAGTCCCTCGCGAGGCCCGCTACTATACCTTACCTACCTAAGTAACCTATAATACTAGAGTTATAGATAAGCTAGACTAGCCTCTCTTAGAGCTCGTTCTATTTATCTAGCTCTAGCGGTCTATCCTTCTCCTTAGCTTCCGTAGTATATAGTACGCCCGGTACCTATAGTCTCCCCCGCTAGTATAGATGCCCCTATAGGTCGATATAGTAATCGGCTACCTATACCTTTAGCTTTAGCTTTAGATTTAAGCGTTAAGCGCCGGACTCTATAGCGCGGCGCACGCTCTTATAGGTATAATCTAGAGCCGCTATCCTATCCTATAAGCGTTAAAAGGCTATATCTTAGAATACTCTCGCCGCGCGTGCCCTTAGGCCGGTCTATCCCTCCTTACTAAACCGAGGTAAAGGCGCTAAAGAAAGCTCGTTTAGTAGTAAAGGTATAGGGGGAAGCTCGTTTACTAGTACCGCGCCTTCCTTTACTAAGGAAGCTCCTATATAAGTCCGTAGCGCTTCCTATAGGATAAGCTATAGATCCTAGGCCTCGATATCTACTCCTATCGGCCGGTCTTAATCCCTTTAAGAAAGCGCGTCTAGGACTACGGAGTCCCGCTTAAGGCGGTACTTAATCGAGAAGTTAAAGTATAAGAGATACTCCGCTTAGCGGGCTTACCGCTCTAAGAGGTGCTAGCGGGTTATAAAGTACTTAAGGTTCCTATAGTCTATAAGAACCTTAAAGCTCTTATAGCTCTAGAGCTCCGCTTACTATCGCTTAAGGTAGCTAATAATCGTTAGTATCTCCTTATTATAAATAGCGTAATTCCGCTCTACTAAGGTTAGCTTATAGGAGTAGAACGCTACTAGTTACTTCCGCTTATCTACCTTTTAAGAGAGCATTCCTTTAAGTGCTTAGCCGCTATAGTCTACTTCGACTAACGTAGACTAGTTAAAGTCCTACTAAAGTAGTACTAGGGCTTACGAGAAAAGGTCCTTAAGCGTATAGAATGCCCCTTCCTATATAGGCTCTTAATAAAAGGCGGTTTACTTTCCGGTAATCTTATTTAAGGGTATTATAATATAGGAGAAGCCCTTAATAAATATCCT